GAAGATGAAAATTTTGTCTCCATCGATGGGGCAGCCCTAGGCATTGTTGAGGTTAATTTTATATCCCCTTCCTCCTCCTCCACACCCTGTTCATATCGAAATAGTTATCGGTTTGAAAATCCCTAGGACAGAGATGTTCTAAAAACAAAGACTCAGCAAGCATCCCTTTCCTCTCAGCAGGCTCAACAACGGACGCTTGCTGGGCGTCTAGCCCCGGCGGCCCGCAGGGGGCGCGCGCAGCTTCCGCAGCTCAGTCAGTCTGGCAACCCGGAGAAGGTGAGTCCAAACGAAGGGAATCCGGGAGCACAGCAGTTCAGCACCCGCTCGACTCACAGAGCACTTAAAGCTTGAAAATAAAGACACATCTCGGGCTCTGGGTCACTTTGCTGCTACAACATAACCGTGTGATTGTTGGTACTGTTGGTCCCAAGTATCAGTTGCAAGTGAAGATGTCCGGGCTGAGTCTCAAGCGATCGAGACKCAGCGGTGCCCTGGACCTTCGATCTAAGATCTGGATGGCTCTCTGGAGGCTTCCAAGTAGCTCGGGGCTGTACCTACTGCCAGAGCCAGACATCCTCTGATCAGGCTGTGGGGTTTGTCTCTGTGGGCATCCTCCCTGCACTGACACCAAGGTCCCCAAACAATAGCCACCAGGTTTCCTCAAGCCTCAGAAGCAGGGTTAGACCACTACAGTCAGACTAACAGGCTTCACTCTTCACCACCTGAATACTCTTCTTAACCCTATGGGCACCTCCCCTCCCCCCCCTTCACTGGGGCATGTATTTCCTCTGGGGAACTATAGGGGACCCCTTACAGTTCACACACCCTCAAGGGGGCAGACACAGGCTGAGACAGGCTGCAGAGCCTTTTAGTGACTGTCTCCAAGACCTCTGGATTTTGTAATTCAGTGGTGTGTGTGTGTGCGTGTGAGAGAGAGAGAGAGAGAGAGAGAGAGAGAGATATTCCCCATGGAATCCATAATTCATTGCCAACATTTGTCCTGGGCAGGCTCTGGGACTCTCAGTCTTCTTCTGACAACAGGCCATCCCCTGACCATGCTGGAAGGAGGTCATTCCAGACCTCTTCCCCCAGGCTTCGAGCTGGACACGGTCGGTTGCGCCCCTTGGGCTCTTTGTTCACACGCAGCAGGCTAGGAGCAGCTGCTCTGAGAGGCTGAGCACAAGGAAACCCGTCCCTTGGCGCCTTCTCCCATTCTTGTGTCCATGCCCTTACACCTCCCTTGAACTCACATCCGGTCCTGTCTTTTCTCCTGACCCAGGGATTGAGGAAGTGCGGTTCCTAGGGCCCAACATTGCATTCCTGCCTGGCTCCCGTGGCCCAGGGAGGCCACGGGACAGTTGAAATGTCACTGGCTGAGGTAAATATTAACAAAAAGCAAATGGACTTGTGCGGGGCCAGTTATCAATCAACCAGGCCGCAAGGCCACTAACAGCAAACACAGTCCAGGTTGGATCCGGCGAGACTTTCTCATCGCCGCCTCTACGTGGAACCCAGTCCCCCTGGCTCAGGTCCTCCAGGACTTTCTAGGTCAAATACTTGACCAGTAAGGGGGCGAAGTCCTGGGTGCTGAAGGCCTGACCATTTCCCCCGTATTGTTTGGAGGCTTCCTCGCCTGCCAGTCCTGCAGTGTTAGAGTGGCCCAGCAGCTACCCACTCCGAAACCATGGGCCTGTGAGCGACAGCCTCCTAGGTTTACTGTGCCTTGCCTATTGGTGGGTATCTGCTGCATCTCTTCCAGCGCTGGTAGCTCCTGCGGTGCAGCCAAAGCCTTTTGAAATCTTTAATTGGAAACTAATCTCCTGCGACTTGATAGGCGCCCACGTCAGAGGCAGAGCACACCCCTAGCCCAGTTCCCCCATCCCACTCAGGATCAGAAGCAGCCATGAGCCCAGTGGCGCTGTGTTGTAATGGGGCAGTAGCAAGTATAACATTGAGAGAACATATAAATTGATTTTTTTAAAAGGTAGTTAATTTGGTGAGAATTTCCTTCTGTCGCCCATTTTCCACCAGAGTTGAAAATTCCAGACCAAAGGTACCTCTCCAAACATACTGCCTCATGCAGAAGGTTTTGACCATTGGCAACAAGCAGTGTGGAATGTAGGAGACAGAGAGGTACAYGGAGAAGCCACCCTCCTGCTGAGGAGGGAAGGAACACATCTCAGTGTGATTCTGATTCCCAGGAGGATAGGGAGGAGATTGCTGGCCCCTATCTTTGAGGGCAATWGCAAGCAAACTACAAGGGGGCACTTCTGCATTGGGGAGCTGGTGGAGGAGGACAAGCACCAAGATCCTGAAGCCAAGGCCAAGTTGGTTTTCAGGATCCTGCACTCCTAGCCTAGACATCATTTGGAGGGTTCAAAAAACGACTTCACGTTTTTTTCTTTTCTTTCTTTCCTTTTTCTTTTTTCTTTTCTTTTCTTTTCTTTTTTTTTTTTTTTTTTTTTGGTAAGAAATTGTTAAGGACTCCAACCGCTGTTACTCAGTGGTTTAAAAATAGGTCATGCTTTTGTGGCTTGAGAGGTTCTTTGCATGGGGCCCTCCTGGCCAGCACTGCATGCTCAGTTCCAGCCCTCCGCTCCACCTCTTTAAGTTGGGGGGGTGGGAATCAAAAGTAGGACTCGGCGTTCCATCCAAGTATCAGGACACCAAGTACCCCTTGGGTTTGTTGAAAAAAGTGTGTCCAGCCAGAGTCTCCTATTTTTCACTTTTTCTAGGAAAAGGCCACCTGCCTGGGGCAAAGAGCATCCGGCTCAACACAGGCTGCTAGGTGCCCAGGCAGGCGCCTCTTCAATGAGTACCTGCCTAGCACCTCCAGGCCTTGCCTCTGTTGTGCGGGTCGCAGGTCTTTTCTCTACCCACCACCTCAGCTCTCCACGCCTGGAGGTCAGAGGGCACATACCTAGAACAGAGCGCTAGATCGGTTTCTAAGGCACCGGCTGTTGCTAGACGCAACCTATCAGTCTGTCCTTCCAGGGGAAGACCAAAGGGAGTGGGGAAAGGAGGGTCGATGAAGTCTGGAGTAAGAGCTTTGACTGGGGGTGGGGTGGGGCACTGGACTTCCCCTGAGGGAGTACCCTTGGTTTCACCTCTTTTCCATTTTTCTCTGTCCCACTCGCTGAGTTTGGGTCGCTTCTAAGCCAGCATTGTTCGGGTAAAAGGTCCCGAACTCCAGCCCTTGCGGTGGGCTTGTGAAGATACACTACCTTGGATGCCCAGTTAGGTTGAGCAGTCAGGGCAGGGAGTGACCCTTTCGTCCACCCTTTTACGAACTTCAGCTGTTCGTAGGGTTTTGGTCAACCCATGCGGGGCAAGATGATCGTGGTCCCAGTGCTACAGAGTGGAAACACCGGAGCCCAGGATTCGCTGAGATACTCCGTCAGCCTCTCCCTTCGGTCTCCTTACCCGCTGCCTCGCCTGGTTTCCAGATGCAGGCAGCAGGAATATGCCAGAGAACGTCGCTTGGCGAAGGCCAAACTAGGCTTGAAAACCCCACAGGACAGAGGCTCAGTCAGCTCGGTGCTCCGGACCGAAGACCTCAAGCGCCCAGACCCAAGGAACRCTTTGGGTCGCTTCAAGGCTCGAATCTCAAGCTCACTCGCACCTGCCTCCCTCTAGCTTCTTATTGGCAGGCACGAGATGGGGGGAGGGGGTTTCGGCTTTACGCTTTGATTTTAGACTGTGAAACGGCTCAGTGCCCCCGGCTCAGAGCGGATTGACTGTCTCACGTTCTCCAGGGACGAATTAATGGAGAACGATCAGTTAATTAACAAACCCTCATTCCGGCTTTTACCTTTCTCTTCGCCAAGGCTCAGGCCCCGGCGCCAAGCTGAGTTGTGCGCGCGGGGCGGGGGTGGGGGGGCATGGACTCAGGAGTCAATCAACTTGGCAACCTCCGCCCAGGTCTCATTAAACCCAGTCTGCCCTCGGGTGCCCTTGGCTCTATCTCCCCTCGTGTCCTCGGTCTTCAGACGTCGCCGAATCCGCCCGAAATCCCCTGTGCGTTTCCTGCTGGGTTCAGCTGTCTCCTCCGCCTATCTGCAGTCTAGGGGAGCCAGGCGCGCTGTCCACGCAGCGCCACCGAGACCTTACCGCTTAACTACCAAACAGTCGGCTTGGGATTTGGGCCCAGAAGACCTTTGCTTGCAGACTTGGGTGTCATTTACATACTCCCACCCTCCTGTGCTGGGATTCAGACTGAAAGTCACGAAGAGGAATAAAACAAAATGCCAAGTCTCTTTGTAAAAAATGCAAGCGAAGGTGGCCCCTGGCCTTCGCTGCGAGCTCCCTTATTGCTCTGCCGTTCTCACCTGGATCTCGGTACTGTCTGCCTTCCTCCCTCTCCTTTCCACGGTCGGTTCCACACTCAGTGTGTACCAACTTTTCCGACGCGTCCCCTCTGCACACACTCTGCTCCATAACTTTGGAACGGTTTGCCCGCACTCTTAAAAGTGCGGTTCTCCGGGGCCTTACTGGTGCCAAATGAGCCCAGGAGGGGGTCGCCGCAGCGAGTTCAGCCAAACCTTTACTGGCAGCTCCAGCAAGCTCCAGCCCAGCGCCAAGTATGTACTTGAGGGTACTGAAAGGGAGCACCTAAGCGCAGTTCCAGACACGCGTGCCCCCAACCTCACTTATCAAACCCGGAGTGCTCAGCTGAGAAGCTATGCACAGACTGTGTYCTAACAGGTTCGAAGATTCCTCCGGCCGTGTGACCCTCCAGCGCGGTCCACAGCACAAATGCGCCCCTAGAGTCACCGAGGCCGCTGCAGCTTAGCTCCCAGGGCCTTCCACAGCCCATTGCACTAAACCCTGAAGGAGGCAATCTGCTTCCGAAGCCGTGTGCTGGCTCTTCCAGGCCCAGGGACCCCTTCTAAGGAGAGGGAAGGATGAAAGCTCTGCCTACTCTTTCCCTCCCACCTTCAGGCCCTTGAGTTTCCGAGTACCTTATCTCGCTTACGCGCCAAGCTCTTTGGCCCGCTCACCTGCTAAGCGGAGCGCGGACATTCGCTGGAACTCCGGTTCCTGAAGCCACTTCCACATCCTCCGGAAGGTCTCTCGGCCGGACTTGAGTTTGCTCCAGGGTTTGGGGTTGCGCAGCAGGTCCGAGAGGGTCCCCTGGGAGCGGCAGAGCACCCTCTGCGCRAAGATGGCCTGTGGGATGCTGTAGCGTTTGAGCTCGGTGGTGATACGCTGCGCCACCTCTTTGGTATTGATCTCTTCCATCTGCCCTGAATTACTTCCATTGCTGACCTGCGCGCCGGTCACCGAAGGGTTGGGCTCTCGGGCCGTTCCCAGGAGCTGTCCGTGGCCCTGGGCGTTCAGGTGGGCATGGGGGTGGTGCGGAGGAAGGCCATTAATGGGCACCATGCCAGCCGAGGTGGGCGTGAGATGCTGCTCCCCGTGGCGGCCGAGCATGGCCGGGTGGTGGGCTTCGAAGCCGTTGGGGGTGAGCATCTTGTCGGTGGGCATGGCAGCGCCGGGGTGGGCATAGTGGGGAAGCCCTTGCTGGGAGTTGTGGATGCTGCCCAGACCCGAGCCGGAGAGGGGCGAGAGGCTCTGGCCCATTCCAGCCACGTCCTTGTGGTAGGGGGTATAGAGGTTATTCATGGAGGCCAGCCCGCGCTCGTCCCGCATGAGTGTGAAGCTACCGCTCACGTTGCCCGCCAGACGCTGGTGGTGGTGCGGGTGGTGGTGATGATGGTGGTGGTGGTGATGGTGGGGGAATTTGTCCGATACGGTGGAGATGGGCGGCAGCGGCTGAAGAGGGGTTAAGGTGGTGTAGGTGGTGGGCATGCTCATACCTGGGGGAGTCTCGCAGGCCATGGTCATAGTGGGGTGCAGGGGACCAGCCAGGCTGTGCTCAGGGGCTCGGTGGTGATGGTGGTAATCGCTGCCTCCGCCGCCGCCGTCCAGGAGGGACGCCATGCCCATGGAGCGCGGGTGCGCGGGAGGCAGGTGGCTGCTACGGTGTGCCACAGAGCTGCGCGCGTGGGGACTGCCGCCCAGTAGGTCGGCAGGGGCGGGCACCGGCTCATGGCTCACCCCGTGCAGCTCGCCGATCGCCTCCATGGTCAGCTGCGCGTTCATCGTGATCCCGGCGAGCGGGCGGCGGACACAACATCGATGTGGCCGGGCAGAGGCTGCGAGGAGCGCACGGAGTCCGGTCTTCACATTGGCTGCCAGCGACTGTAGCCTTTCTTCCTTCCTCTCACTGTGGGTCTGTATGAGTGTGTGTGTGTTTGTGTGTATGTGTGTGTGTGTGTGTGTGTGTGTACGCGTGTGTATGTGTGTGTATGTCTCCTTTCCTCTTAACCCCACCTTCCCCTCTGCGTCCTCCGCTTTTAAAAAATATTAATTTCCAAAAAGGATCCGCGTTGTTGGGAGAGCGCGATGCCACCAGCCCGCCTAGCCCTGGTCCCCTCTCGCCCCTTTTCTTAGAATTGTGAGGTCCCCGGCTCCCCTGACGCGACCGGCGCGCCTGCCACGGCTGCTGCCTGCCCGCGCCGCTCGCCAGCYCGAGCCATGGCTCGGTTACTGTTGCAGACTCTGTGGCCGCGGTTCAGTCGCCGCCGCGGCTGCAGCGGCCCGCCCTCACGCCTACTGGTCGCACCGCGCATGCGTACGGCTCGGCCCCGCCCTCTGAGTCCCCGCGATCCCAGCCCCTGAAGTCCCCGTACAAATGAAGGTGGGGAGGGGGTGGCCTTGCACCCTCCCAGCGGCGCCGGATGGCCTGGAAGCGGTGGGCACGTGCAATGAACTGGGGCGGAGCGCGTCCTGGGGCCGCCGCCGCAATCTCGGGAGACTTGCTTCCCGCTCGCCTCCCTTGCACTGGAGAGCTCTTTCCTTCTAGCCCCAGGACGCTGCTGCCAGGCTCCTACCATGGTTGGCTCGCTATGCTGGGAGCTTTGCTCTTCTCTCTATAGTTGCTGCTTCCCGGGGAAGGTTGCCCGGGAAGCTGGGGATTGTGTCATCACTCCTTTCACCCAGGCCCACTAATCTCTATTTCCCGGAGAGATGCTGTAARTTGGCGCTTTGCACCCTTATAAATGTTCGCCTATTGGAGAAGGGAACCCTAAATACCTTAAAGGTCTGGGTCAGGTTGGCAGCTGTTGACCAGGCATCCTTCATCCTCCCTGACACTCCTCTGCCCACCCTTCCTTACCCGTGCCTTGGGGAAGGAGCATTAAGTGCCAAGAGTCCATACCTCGCTGTCCCTAGCCGCCTGTGTCCTTCTTCCGCGCAGCTCATAATTAAGGCTGCACGCCCGCTTCACCAGTGACTCGGAGGGGAGGGGGAAGGAGGAGGGTAGGAGTGCCCTGGTGGGTTCCCCTGTTAACTTCCGGTGCTGAGGGGGCCGCCGAGGCTCGGGCCGTTGGTAGGGTTGCCTCCGAGGCTCTCCTGGTAAAGCACCCAGAGGCCGCTGCTTGTGAAAAGTACTGACATAGGCAGGGTGAACGCTGCCACGCGGGTCTCCGCTTGGCCCGTAGGGACGGACGCCCCTTTCCCAGCGTCCCTGAAGAAGCCTCCGGTTGAAAATTAATTCAGCTTCGGACGTAATTTTGCCCTTTCCACTGTCATGTTCCAATACGGGAATCAAACCTGGTCCTTAGGTCTGGACGCGTGGAGAAGCCCCCAGTRTGGGATGTACACCCGGCCGCCACATGCCGCGGCTTTCTTTCATTTACAAAAGAAAAGAAAAAAGAATCCGTAACAAAAGGCAGAGCCGTGTCCGCTTAGGTGCTTTCATCCCTCGGAGAAAGGACAGATGTGCCCATTGTCCAGCCCTTGGCAGTTATGGCCGGGTCAGCGCCAAGCCTCAGCCGCGGGCGAGCTGTGTTCACAATGGGGACAGATTCTCAGAGCCAGGGTATCTGGGCCTAGATGCAAAATAAAGTTTGTGTGTGGCTTGTACTGGGCCAAACTCAAATCATAGGTTTGTTTGCTGAGACACCGGGCTGAAATCCACCACCGGGTGTTTCCACTGTAAATGTTCCCWGACCCTTGAAGAGGCCAGGGCTGAGTTGGTATTATGGTGGTGGTTGAGCTTCCAATAAGAAAGTTTCAGCTGGACAAACTTTAGGGAAGTACCCATCAGCTAGGGTAGGAACTAGTCAGGTCCATCTCCTTGCCTAGGTTCCACCCACCACAGGCCAACATCATGCATGATTCAGGTAGGTCACAGTCAGTGGGCACAGTCAGTTTGACTTCCTTGAAAATGCCTTGTTCTGGGGCTGGTTAATATGGCTGTCCCAGAAACAATCTCATCCTATCCCAGCAATTTGTGTGGAGGCCCTGAAAATGGGGGCTCATCTCAGTGGACATCATTTCTACTTGCTCAGTGAACATTGAGGAATATCCCTCCTCCCCTGGCTAGGAAAAGCCCTTTGGGAAAAATACACTGGCCAAAATAAACTCAGAAAAACAATCACTCTATTTTAACATATCTATATCTACCTGTTCATACACATATATACACAAGCATAATACATTTGTTGTCTAGTAGATCACAGTTTGTTGGTGGGAAGCTTTTTTAAAAATATTGTTTCTGCTCTCTTATAGCATAGAACATTGGCCTTGCATATGAGCCCAAACAATGGGTTAAAATAGCAGGCAACCTTTGAGCTAAACTGTCACCCCCCCCATATTTTAATCCTACAGAAATAATCGATTTGCCCTTATGACAACTCTCTTCCCAAAAGGCAGTGTGTTAAAAGAAAGAAGTAAATACCACCAAGTACACAAATTGTTCATGGTTTTCTCTTTGTGTAGCTAATTAGGGGCTTGATCTTGGAAACCCTCCTTGTGAGGCTCCTAGCTGATCCCCTGGTGGCCACCTTAAGGGGGCTTGGATCYGGTGAGCTTGACTTCACCCATCCACAAAAGGACTTTTGAAAAGGGGGCCTGTTTTGATGTTGATCACTAAAGGGGAAGTGAAGGGAAAAATCTGGGCAAGTATGTGTTGGCCTTGCTTAGTTCAATGTTTCACACTTTTCCTAAAAGATTTTCAAAAATGCATGTGACACCAGGTGCATGCCTGTAATCCTAATGGCTCAGGAGGCTGAGGCAGGAGGATCTCAAGTTCACAGCCAGCCTCAGCAACTGGCGAGGCACCAAGTAACTCAGTGAGACCCTGTCTTTAAATAAAATACAAAAAAAGGCCTGGGGATGTGGCTCAGTGGTTGAGTCCTCAGAGTTAAATCCCTGGTACTCCTCCCCTACTCCCAAAATGCCTATGAAGGACTTGCTTGGGTTTGTGAATCTCCCTCATTTTTCTTGGCTATTCACACCTTTTATTTAACCACTGTCTTCCTGTAGTTGATGAGTTGCAGTGATCTCAGTCAGAATATTTTTCTTCCTTGACCTCTTACGAAATTTCAATTTACTAAGAATGTATGATGGGTAGGAAGGGTGCTCTTCTCAGGCCTAGTTAAAGTGAGTGCATGTGTGGGGATGGAGGGGCACTAGATAGATAGCCAACTGTGGGAGGGCTGAGATCATTTTTTTTGTCATTCCCCCCCCCTTTCTTTTCCATCTGCCCCACACAATGCCCGGTCCACATTAGATGCATTATGGAGAAGGAGGGAATTACAGTACAAGGAAGAGTTCTTTGATACTTGGAGGTCAGTGAATGTGATTGAGAGGAAGGCTTATAATTAGATACTTAGATTTTGAGTAGCTGCAGGAAATTTAAAGAAAAAAAGTGCTAATCAACATCAGAAAATTACTACAAGTATATATGTTTTCTAAAAAAGGAAAATAAAACTATTGACTAGATGCTTGTTGTTGGCAATATTTTCAGTTTGGAAACCAGGATTTCAAAATATTTATTTTGTAAATGTCAGAAGAAGAGCCTGGGGGGATGGGATGAGCAGGTACACTCTCATGCTGGATGCTCTACAGCTTGCCAGGCAACCCTCCAGGCAACCCCATCAGGCTTAAAAAATTAAAAGCAGCAGCCCATTTTTCGAAATGCTGACCACACAAAGTTCTCTGAGAAGCTCCTATTGGTTTCAAAGTTAATACTTTATTTTTCTTTGTGAGTAGTAGAGGTGTAATACAGGGTTATTTCCCAGTCTTCAGGATCATTCCAAATAAATGTTTCTAGACCCCCTGAGCCATCAAACATGTACTTTTCTTTTTTTTTTTTTGGTATCACAAACAGCAGTCCTGGGTGTCAGAGCAAATATCTCCAAGGTCCCAGGGGAAGACCCACTCCTTGGCTAGAGCCTCAGAATGGAATTCATCATCATTTCAGATGACTACATTCAGTCTAGAATTAAACTGCTGGTGTGGAACCATTTCCTTGATATCTAACTACAGTAAAGCACTTGATAGCTGGGGGTAAAGGATTTGATCCTGGGTGCTTCCCATTGGGCTCTCTTGTCTTCCTCGGGAGTCCTCCCATCTCTGGAGAAATTTCATTCAGAAAATTACTATTGGCTTAGAATAGAATTATCAAGAAACATAGAAGGGACTGGATTGGTGATTTGCTATTGAAAATAATTTTTTAAAACACAAAAACCAAGTTACTGGGCTGAGGGTGTAGCTCAGTTATAGAAAGATACTAGGTTCCAGGCCCTGGGTTCAATTTCCAACACTGAGAAGAAAAAAAAAATAGTGACCTTCACTCTGGGACAAGGAAGTTACCAATTATCCTGGCCTTCTTTTTCAATCTTTGATCATCTTTTTGTCTATAGTTTTTATTCACCTTTTCGTTAACTTCTCCCCCACTTTTTCCTTCTTAAATTCAGTTTTCACGCGTGAATTTTTTTAAAATTCGGCATTTTCGCAGTTTTCTTTGTTTCATCTTACTCTACTCCAAATCCCAAARAGAGGATACTCTGCTGAAAGGCTGTCAGCTCTTGCCAACCCTAGAAATTCCAGACCTACCAAGAGCCACCCGAGTGGCCATCCTGGAACTTCAGACGACTCCTGGTGTGTCTGTTACCTCCTGGGTGTAGGAAGCAAACCGCTCCCCTTTCTAGGTTCCCTAGCTGAACTGGAGGCAGCTTCACCTGGGTTGAAATCCGTTCCGGCAGTCATCCACTCTGGCGAGAGCTTTCCAAGGCTTCGAACCAAGAGCGCTGAAGGAAGAGTGGGTGTCCTGCCGTCCTGAGCATGAAGGAGGGGGTCCAGGTTCCTAGATGACTCTCTGGCTACAGGACCGTGCTAGTCGCAACCGGCGCGATTCTGGGGAAGTTGGCCAAMCATC